CAGAATTGCATCACGAGTTTCACCAAATAAGAAAACACCAAGAGCTCATAATTGACAATGCTGGTAAAGTCTCATCATCATCATCAATGAAGAACCAATGTTGATATCCTATCTGTCGCTCGGCGCCCAGACTACAGATGGCAAATCCTATCTAGCCTAGACTACAATTCCGGATGATGACGACAACAACTTTCCCGAAGTACGAGCATACAGCGACCAATGTCACACGCTTCCAGCACCAGGTATGTCTCTCGCCTCACTCACAATCTCGTTCCCCAACACACAGATGCCACTTGCACCCAAGGACCACCCTGCGCCACACCCAGCTTACAGCAGCGCAGCTCGGCTATGGCTGCCTGCTCCTTCCTGCTCGCCCGTGAGCGCGTGAGTGCCAATGAGCTTCAGCGCAGCATGCAGCCAGCACCCGAATATCAAATCTGGAGGCAGGCCCTTTGCTATATCGAAGTGGCCTGTCTGCGTTCAGTCCCAGGAAGCTTCCAATAGGCCCCGATAGCCTGAGGCCCAGCACGATAGAGAACAGGCCTTGGGCCTCAGGTGGTTGCATGCACCCAACTGCCCTTGGTCTGTGTTTGGCCCAGTACCCGTATCCAGCCCAGGGCCTGCTTTCCATACATTCACATAGGCGGCCCAGGGCATGGGTTCTCTCAACCAACTGGCGCTGCGCAACTGCCTGAATTTCCTTAGTTGCGCAGTGGTCAAAGTAGGGCCCTGAGGGGTCGTCGAGCCTGCCTTCACTTAGGGCGGCCGACTTGCTCCAAAAAGGGGCCGAATGGGGCGCATAGAATGTCAATGAGAGCCTACTCTCGTCATCACCAACATAAGTGTCCAGGACTCCAGGCCCTTCCCCCTACTCTGGGGCTCGGCGCCTAGACTACTCCCCCACACGTCCACTATCTGCCTACGAATTGACAATGTAAGTGTTGACGTCAGCAGCCACCGAAGTACATGAACATGTCGCCCTATGCAGACTATCGCCAATACCAGGTATGCGCCCTCACGTCATCCTCCTCATCTCTCTCTCTCTCTCTCTCTCTCTCTCTCTCTCTCTCTCTCTCTCTCTCTCTCTCTCTCTCTCTCTCTCTCTCCACCTGAAGACCACCACTGCACCTTGCTGTTTATCCAAGCCCCAGCCAGCTACGGAAGCTGGGCTATGGCGCTGCCCACAACAGCGCCCTCACTTACACGACCGGACGTGCGTTGCACCTTGCTGTAGTGCTAGCAAGTGCCCGAATGCCCTGCCTGCCAAGCAGCGAGCTCTTTCCTATATGGAAAGAGTCTGGCCTGGCCTGCGGCCTGGTTGTGCTGGGCCTGCGTCCAGAAGCTTCCAGTAGGCCCCACGTAGCTGGGCCTGTGCTGCTGCTGCTGGGCCTCATTCGGCGGCCTCATTCGGTTACGCCTCCCAACTGCCTGTGTATATTCTGAAAATTGCCCAGAATCAACTGCTGAGTTTACTCCCGGTTGCCTCTCCTACTGTGCTGTTATGTGCTCGATTGATTCACAACTCCAAACCACATTCAAATGTTCCGATACACATCTGCAACGACTGGCAGACTGGAGACAAGGGCGGAGGCAGCATGACATCCATAGCCACAGTGGTCATCATAGTCAGTAGTCATCTTCTCCATAATCGAGGTGGCCGTCTTCTCCATAGTCGAGGTGGTCCTATTCTCCACAGTCGTCTTTGTTCCTGTAGTGTTGCTTGTTTGTAGTGGTTGTGTGTAGTGGCGTTCAGAGTCTTCATCCTGGCAATTCAGATTTTTCCCTCCTCGAGTTCAACTAAACCTGACCGTGCCGACGGCCAGGTGCATTCATATGGATAGGGGCTGCGTGGTACTTGAGCGGGAAAGAGCAGGAGTCAAGCTGGGCAGCGCAAGCTATAGCACGTGAACATGGGGAGGAGAAAGCAGGAAAGGAAATAAGGGTGAGAAGAGAGAAGAGAGAGCAGTACAGCTGAGGGAGGGTTGATCCCGAGGGCTTTGCCCCGGGCGAATTGAGCGATAGTGTTAGTTGTTTAGTTGGGCTCTGTACGAGCAGTCAGAGAGAGAGATAGATATCAAAGTATTGAAAAGAGAAGCATGAAAGGGAATGGGAATGGTGCAGAGGGGGAGTTGAGGAAGCGGAGGCATAATCAAGTTTGGGAGGAGGTCAGAAGAACGCGGGGCACGAAGTCAAGAGGGAAGAAGGCATGATGAGAGAGCGGGAGTTCTGCATGTATCGTCCCATATTCTAGCGGGAAAATCATCCTCATTCTGACGGGTTATCTTACCGTGTTACAGCGGGAGCTTCATTCTCATTTTGCATGTAGGTGCTTGACATCGGCTTGGTGGATTGGTGATGTGTTCTTTCCGCTGGTAGTTCTTATTGCGAAATCCATCATCGTCACAATCCTCGAACGTAACGGTCAGTGCTCGCCAATCACGGTACTGGTCTTCTTCTTGTACGCAGCGTCGCTGGTTCTTCGTCGTCGGGACTATCTTCCTCATGTTGCCCAAAGCCGCCCATCTCGTTTGTGGCTATCCTCGCACTGGAAGTTAGCTGCCCGGCTTTGCTTGCCAAGGGCCTTGTGAACCCGGCCGAAAGGTTGTACAGATACATCGAGAATGGAGGGAGCAGTGTCGTACCAAATACCCTTGGGTATTTGGCGTGTTTTCTGCAAGTCACACGAGTGCGGCCTCGTCCGTTTGTCAGCGCGCGAGCGGGGGGGAGTAGTTTGGGTCCTCGCCCGGGTGAGCGGCGCGCGCGAGGTATTGACGGCGAGGCGCATCCATGTGCGGCCTGGGCGTGCGCGACGTCGCGGACTAGCAGGACGCGCAGCATTTATTCTTATTTTTATTTATTTATGTATTTAATTGTTTCTACTGTTTTCTAAGGTCTTTAACTCGGTGATTGATTTTTGAGACCGTTGTCAGGACCAACGGGCCTCGCTTAGTTGCTACGACGTCGGACATAGGTGGCCGTCGCGGCAGTCGAGGACCTTGAACATGCGCCTCTTTCGGCAGGGCTGCTCGGATGCCGCGTGTTCTGGATGCTGGGTAAATTCCCCCAATCGCTGATCTAGAAACTCGGACCGGGGAGTCTGACGCGCGTGCGAGCCAGTGGGTGATTCAGCCTCCGAAGTGGAAGAAGCTTGAGTGGCTGGCGCCGTTTGTAGGTGCACCATCCGCCAACCGCCGATTGCCGCGAGGAGCCTGAGTGTGAGCGTGCCCATTGGGGGCCGATGGACGAGGAACCATGCTTGGGCACAGGGGGCACCAGGCGCAGGCCCACAGTGGTATTGACTGCAGCAGCCGTTCCTATGACGCCAGTCTCCACATCGGTCTTCAAGATTCTCAGTTGAATATTTGCTACTACCGCCAGGACCAGGCCCGGCCCATTCAGACCCGTACTTAGGCTTGCAACAGGCCAGCGCCTGCGACACAATGGTCGGCAGACTGCGTGGGACTTGCCTGCTGGGGTCCGAGGGGCTGTGCCAGAGAGCCGCAGCTTCTAGTGCTGCGGTCGTCTGTCGGACCAGGGTATGGAGGCGACGGACCTAATCGAACCGTCTAGTAGCTGGTTTCCTACGAAGTTTCCCCCAGGATCGCAAAGGGGTGGAAGGGAGACTGGATGCCGTTGCGACCAGGTGCTGAGACCGTGGGAAGAGGCAGAGGGTGACGACCGCTAAGCCAGAGCGGCGGGCGAAGCAAGGTGGAGCAAACGACAGGCACCAGAACCGTGAGGTGGAACAACGGGAGACGGGTGCTAGGAAGGTGAGGCCGCGAACGCCTGCGAGGAGCAGACAAGCGATAGGGGAGCGAGCGCAGACGGGGACGAAGGAGGAGCTGAGTGACTGGGACTATCGAATGATAGAGCTGGGCCACTACAACTGCCAGGCTGCTGCATTAGCAGCAGCAAGCGAGATAAGCAGTGGAGTGTCCGGCACGGAATGAACGCGGACGACATACCGCCCCAAGTACGTTTGACGATCGAAGGGGGCGATAGTGGAGAGCGGGGCGCCATGGAGCGAGGGAGTATGGAGGTAGTAAGGGGAGCAAGAGAAGACGGGCACGAAGGAAGGGGGACAGCAGGCGTTAGTACTGAGTAGAGGCGACAAGGGTAGTGGAGAAAAAAAATAGAACCTGAACGCTAGATTGAGCCAGGTGCAATCGGGTCGAATGTGAGAAGAACGAGCTCTGGTGGAAGAAAGGTAGGTTAATCACCCGATTCTTGATGAAATCGGGCAGGGAAAGAATCAATTCAGGGGTTTTAAGACAGGGCGAAGTCAGTAGTAACGTTAGTTCCGATGATAGAATAGTAGAATTAGAGTTAGTAGGGAAACGGTTTGCGCGGAGACCACGAGCGAATGGCTATGGAGGAGTAGGAAATGAGTACTTCGCCGTATTCTGAATGAAAACGGGCGAACCAAGACCCGATTCTGGGGTTCTTGAACCCTGCGAATCGAGCTATGGAGTCAGAATTGAGGTTAGGGGCTTAGTTTAGGCGGAATGAAGGAATGAGGCTGCGCCCGAGAGTGATGTCTGCGGGCATGAACAGAAGAGGGGATAGCTCGTGCGATTCTGCACAGAATCGGGGGGAGAGGAGAGTTGTCCCCGGGGTTTTGGCCCCGGGCGAAACCGATTTTTGAGTCAGTTTAAATAGAAAGTTAACAGATAAGAAGATTTGGGGGGGGAAAAGTGTGCGCGAAAGGGTGAGTAGGAAGAGGAGTTATAAGGACAATGAATCTATCCGTATTCTAGCGGAAGATTCATTCCGATTTTTGCTCGTCCTATCGATGGAAGTAGCAAAAGGGGGAGATTGGGAGACCGACAGGAAAGTCGGAAAAAGAAAAAAAGGTAAGAGGGAGGATGTTGAAAAAGGACTTACCTGGCGGATGTATCCGACCTTGCCCTAGCGGGAGATTCACTCCATTTTGCTCCTCGCTCCTGTAGAAATGGTGTGGGTCCGGCCGCAACGCTGGAGACTTATCGGGTGGCCATTGCGCTGCACAACCTATCAGTCGGAGTAGCAAGGGCTGAGTTGCGGGTGAGTGGTTACTTGTCCAGAAACGCATTTGTTCTTTGAGAGGAAAGTGAGGGCGGCCAGATGTGTGCGGGGATTGGGAAGGAGATCGGCCTACCGTAGTCTGTGCAGGGGCGTATCTGGTCTTAGCGGCGGACTACAACGTCGGCAACTCCTTGCTTTTCGACTGGTGTTGCTCATATCAGCAGGACGCTTAGTCTCATTGCGGGGCCCTCAGGCGATGGAAGGTAACAAGGCCCTCTCCTGGGAGTTGAGTTGTCCCCCTCCTGTATCTCGAGAGTCTGAAACCCCTCATTCTATCTTTCTAACTCTCAGTCTAATCCTGTTCTGAGAGGAAGGTGGCAGGCGGGATTCCAATCTGTAGGACCGCAGCAAGACTCTGTGAGGAGTCAGCCCACCGATTGTAGGAGCTCTGGTGGAACTCAGGAGGAGTTCTGGAGGCAGGGAACTGAAAGGTAACCATTGCTTTCCTTCTATAAACCCAGTATAACCCCTACTTATATTCATTGCTATGTTTGACTGAGTATGTTGCCCGTATCCGTACTTTGACTTTCAGTTTGACTTCAGGATATAAACCAGACTTAATAAAGGAATGACTGTGCAATGTCAGTTTCAGTTTTATTGTTTGACTGAAAGCAGATTGTGGGATTGCATCTGGGGGAACGATGGGAGGAAGGCTGTTTTTCTTGAGTTTGACTAGGTCAACCAAAGGCTGGGAGAGTCTCCATAAGTTTGGAGGGCCAGTGTTGTGTTTATTTTGGATTGCCTGAAGGACCAGACAGGTTCCCATAAGTTTGGGTCGTCTGGTTGCTTTGATTTGTGAGGGCTGACTATGAATGACTTTTTCAAGGACCTGGCATGTTCCATAAGTTTGGTTGGGTTGGTCGCCTTGTTTACTTTGAGTTTTTTTTCAGTTTTTTATGCTTTGGCTTTAGGAGAATGAACCAGGCTGAGGGTCAGACAGGTTCCCATAAGTTTGGGTGGTCTTGGTCCAATGCCACGCACATGCTGGAACCAAAAGGATATAATTTGGCTACGCCGTGGCGCACAGCAACACTCGCTGATGGCGTCTCGTTCTTGTTTCATGTCTCTCTCTCTCTCTCTCTCTCTCTCTCTCTCTCTCTCTCTCTCTCTCTCTCTCTCTCTCTTTGTTTCCTCCC